CAAGAAGGATTTTCATAGGGGATAATTTTTCTCAGTTTCTGAGAAAACACCTGCTTTCTTGAATTTCCTTTGGTCAGTGGAAGTGAAAAAGATGATTTGTTGGTTCTGAACTTTTTTATTTCCGTGTTTTAGAAGGGAACACACTTAGTCGGTTATGTTGTTTTTCAAGGATTTCTTAACGGCTAAGATGTTGATGACATTTTTAATTGGGATGGAGGGTCATTTGAAACAGCTGAAGATTCTGCTGCGACACTGCCTCCAAATCTCATGGGCTATTCAAGAAGTGTCTGTTAAAGGGCGGTGTTGATTGGATTGAGGATGTATTACCGCGTTGAGATGGTATTTCAGTTATCATACAAGGCTCTCGTTATTGGAAGAGGTTTGTTGGTGACTCCTTTTATTTTGTTTATAATAAAATAAGGATGTGTAAAGGTGGTTCAAAAGACTGAACATTCTGAGTTTAACATATAATCTTTGTCAGTTGGGTGTATGGGAAAAGAAGCAGGTCGGTTGGGAATCCTAAATGGTGTTTTCTTTGCTGCTTTGTTTACGGTTAAGGTGAAACAAGAATACAAGGCTTTTTGAACAGTGGTGGCGGTGGATACTTTATAAGGGACGGTTTTGTTTTGTGTAATCACCGATTTAGTGTCTGATTTGCTTGTATGCACTTTCATTTATTCTTCCATTCCGGTAAGAAAACAATTTCAGTTGTTTGTTCATGAAGATTAACATTCTACGTTGACAGTATGGTCAACAAACAAAAGTATTGTTGGTAGCATGCTGTTTGAAAGGATTTTTTGTTGAACGAACTGTAAATGCTAGGGAAATAAATTTTTGCAGGAGTACTTGGGTGAAGTAAAGATGATCTTCTCTGAAGATAGAAAGGAAAAGGATGTGTAAATGATTTTTTATAGTTTTGTCGCGAAAATGGTGCTGTGTTTCTTCACATCGAAACATGTTATGGACTTGGCGATTAAACAGTTTCTGGGACCGAACTGGCGCTATTTTCTGAATAGCTTTTGGGCCTTTTTCTATTTTCATTTCTTTTTTTTATTTTGCTGATTTTTTAAATATGATTTGGGAAAAAGTGATGGATTATTGAAGAGGAGAAGACAAAGTGTTTTTGCCTATCAAGTCATGCATACATGATTATGTATTCGTTTACGAGCGTACAAGAAATGTCATCAGTTTTTTAACTTTTGGTTTATAAAAATTAACTTAACTATGAAATAAGCCATTATTGCTGGTAGCCTATTGGGTTTGGCTGTTTGCTTTATAAAATATGATAAATAATATTGCTTTACGTTAAGTGGCAGTTGAAAAAGAAGTGAAAAGCAGTCTTTAAAGTTGACTGGATCATAATGCAAATTTCTTCAGTGTAATCTTTGTCTCAGCTGTATCCAAACAATAGATTGTCAATAAGATTATAGCGATTAAGTTTATATTCTTCTGTTCTCCTTTCGCTATTCAGTAACTGAATTGATTTTACATACTTTCCGCCAAGCATCTATTTTCACATTTAATTTTTTACCCGATTAAACGAAAAAAAAAAAAAACAGTTTAATGAAGAATTGTTGAACCAC